TGGGAGTTGTGTGTGTGCCCGGCCAGGGCTTCTCAGAACCCTGAGCACCATGGGCCAGTCAGCTCTCGGTCACGGGGCAGGGACTACTTTGTACCCTGTAGGACACATGGCAGGACCGCAGCCTTCCCCACATGATGTAGTAGCACCCCCACCCCACCCTGTGTTGAGGAGGTGCAGAAGTGCCCCTGAGCATTGCCCAGTGTCCGCTGGGGACAGAAGAGTCCCTCTTGGGGACTGCTGCTCCCTACGGCCTGTGAAGTGGGATCTGTGTGACCCCTCAGAGGGCAGTGTGATGGGGGTGACACCCCACAGACCCTCACGGCCTCTGGGGCAGGGCTCCCTTAATTTGACAGGGGGCCTCCAACTGGCATCGAGAGGAGACTGGCTTTTTGAGAAAAGACACTTGTCACTGGGCCTGCCCTGAGACTGGCCTGGTCCATGCGGTCGGGGCGCCTCAAGTAGGAGGGTGAAAGCCTACTGCCCCAAACAACCACGCACAAGGTAGCCCCCCGCAACCTCTCTTGGCTTGGCCCTTCAAACACTCTGAGTCTGGTGCTCCATCCAGATCCAGCCCTGGGAGGGCCCCTGCCACCACCACCCCTACTAGACCTGACCTTGTCCCTCCCTCCCAGCAAACTGCTGGGGGAGCCAGGCCCGCAGCCCTGCCCCCCACAGGGTTTTAGTGGCTGTGATCCTGCTTTGCTTCCAAGGCACCTCTGGGTGGATTTGAACCATCGACCTTTCCATTAGTAATGGAGCGCTTACCCATTTGGCCCCAGCTCAGGGCATCTAGGTATAGAAGCCAAGAGGTTCAGGAACATGGCCAAGGTCCCTTCACTAAGAAAGAAGGGAGGGGAGGGGCAGAGTCTGGGAGGGAACCCAGTCAGTCAGATGCTGGGCCCCTTCAGGCTTAGCCAGAGAAGCCACGCTCACGGCCATTGATGCCATCCTGGCTCACAGTGACCACACAGGACAGGGCAGAACTGCCCCTATGGGTGTCCAGGAAAGTAACTCTTTACAGAAGCAGAAAGCCTCATCTTTCTCCTTCGGATAGGCTGGCAGTTCCGAACCACTGACCTTGCAGTTAGCAGCCCAAATCATAACCCCTATACCACCAGAGCTCCTTCTGCAGGCTCAGGACACACCTACTTACCCAGAGGCTCTCCCACCACCCGGTATGAGCAGACAGTGCCCTCTGTCCCAGGCCAGGGGCGGCCTCTGGGTGAAAGCCTGCAGGGAGTATGCCCAGGAGGAGCTGGGCAGACCAGGCCTGGCTCTTCACCTGTCCCTCAGGTGGGTGGGCTCCGGATGGGCTCTGCCACGCACTGACTGGCCCTCTCTCTCCCCAGCACCAGAGCAATTCCAGGAGTGTGCCCAACTCCAAGGCCAGTTTCAACCACCACATACATTCTAACCACATCAGCTCAAACTCCACCGGAAGCAGCTAGCTCCCGATCTGGCTCTGACGTCCACAGTGGAACCAGCCAGACCCTTCCCCTCAGACGCGGATCTGGTGTCTCAGGACTGGCGGCCCGCAATGCTCAGGCCCTGGCCAGGACGGCTGGGGAGCCCTCACCAGGCACGGGGAAAGGTGGTGGTGGCCTCACCTTCACAGCCGAGCCTCGAGGTTTCAAGACGAAGTTCCCACTCAGGTCTGTGGTCAGAGGTGGGCCCTCGCGCCGTGTGGACGGGATGACTCCTGGAAGCCCCCGGGCCGCAGGACAACGTGCACGCGTTTCCATCGCCGTCGTCACCAGAACTGAATTTTGTCTCGATTTTTAAAGAAAAGTTTTGTAAATTTCTCTATCGTCTTGGTTTACATTTTGTATATTTGTATTTAAATGAGAATCCGACTTTGAAGTGGGGGCGGGGTGGGGGGTGTTTCCCATGCAGCCACTGCTAAGCCACATGTTTTGAGATGTTTTAGGGGGAAGGAGATTGACAAGAAGAGAGGTGCAAGAAACGGAGCAAGGGCATCAGGGGGAAGTTGTTTGTATTAGATGTAGAAACGGAGTCACAGTCCCCTTGAAGGGACCACTGTATGCACCTACACCCTCTCCAGAGCCTTGGGCTCCCGTGGGCCCCACCCTTCTGCTGTTTGTCCTCTCCTGCCTCCAGTGCCCAAAGATGCCCCTGAAGCTAGCCAGACCCCAGGCTGGGTCCCCAGGGCATGGGCTCTGTAGAATGGCTGCCCCCACACCCTGGGGGCTGGGGTCTCACTTCAAGCCAGAATGCTTCCCAGAGGCTAGCGCTGGGGCGTCTGTTTTACCTTCTTACAGGGAGGCCTGGTAAGGAGGCAGCTCTGCCACAGACACCTAAGGCGGGGAAGGGCGCGGGCCCCTTCCGCCCAGGGAAGCGAGAAACACTGGGTGCCCCTGAGGCCCCATCTTTGTACCCATCCCACCAGCTCATCCCACAGCCTGCAGGGTTGGGTGTGGGTGCCCCAGGACCCTAGCAAGCTCCTGAGGGCTTCCTAGAGCCCCAGGTGAGCTGGTTGAGGTGGCATGGGTGGGGCTTAGTCCACCCAGGACCAAGCTCACTGCCTCTTCCAGGAGCTATGGGCAGAAGCCAGCTCTGGTGGGCAGAGCTCTGTGCTCCAGGTAGGAGTAGCCCCCAAGTGGACTTGCCAGTCCATGGGGCCTCTGGACGGTCCCTGGGCCCTTAGGGCATGGCTGTCCTATCCCAGGGACTCCAGGCCTTCCTTTACTGCCCTCATGAGGACAGCCCTCCGCCCCCCCCTCCAGGACAGGTGAGTTGGGTGACTCCCCTGCTCCCCGACCCCACTGAGCGTCCAATTCGACCTCAGACCTGAGCTGTTCACAGTGGGACCTGCCCCCCTGTGTCAGCACCTCCTGTTAAAATGTAGACTCCCGGGCTCCGCCCCCCGCCTAGTGAGCATCTGGGGGAGTGGGGCCCAGGAACCTGCATGGAGCTCTGCCTTCTGATGCGACTCCAGGGACAGCCACTGCCTCGACCAGTGGGGGGGTGAGGTCAGAGATTTCAGGAAGGGAAGGGCGCAGAGCCGGCAGCCTCCTGGGTTCCCCAGACCGGGCGGTGTGCTTATGGACCACACCACCAGCAAGGGGCCTAGGCAAAGTGGGGAGAGAGAAGGTGGATGTAGCTGGGCTTCCCTTAGCCCATAGTATTGTGTTGCTCAGAGCAGCCCTTGGCCTCCAGAGCTGCGTCTTTAAGGTCTCTTACGGACCAGACGGATAGCAGACAAAAACGGGCAGCCCGGCGCTGCAGTTTCTCTGGGCTGCACATAGACCCTCCGGCTCCTGCTGACCCTCCTTTCATGATGAAGTGGCTGGTCTTCCCTTAGGACCCTCAGCAGCCCAGGCCCTTGCAGAAGGGCGGCGGTGGGGGGTGGGAAGCAGTCTCTCTGGAGACCTCAAAGGCAGTGCCCTGTCCACATGCAGTCCAGAGCCAGACAGACAGCTAGAGGCCGGGGGCTGCCTTTCCAAGTCTCCAGGGCTCCCACAGAGCCTCCCGCCGGCCTCCTCATCTACTCGCATTCCAACTGAGTCTTCCTTCCAGCTGGACATCCTGAGCCACTGGCCCCTGAGTGTCCCCAGGAGGCCAGGGGCCAGAGTCCCTGGGCCTTTCAAGTCTTCTTCCGGCCCATTGCTTTGTCACCTGGATGGGACACCCTTACTAGAGCCTGAAACCCATCCTTCACCCCCCACCCCAGCCCCACTCCTACTCTAAGTTGGCTTCCTACACTTGTTTTTTCAAAACGAGGTTTGTAAACGGAAAAGAAGGAAGCACTAAATCGACCCCCACGCCCCCCACCCCATATCCCTCTGGGAGAAGGCGTAGCTGGATGGTGAATGGATTGAAGTCTGTTTTCATGCATCTGAGCTCTTCCCAGATAGCCGTCCTCCACCCCCAGGGACACTGTCCTCCAGGGACACTGGCTGACCTAGTGCCTTTGAGGTGAGATGCAGGGTCTTGCTGAAGCACCTCTGCCGCCCCTTGTCGGAGATGAGCTGCTGTCCTCGGTGGGGCGGGGGCTGCCTCGCTGCATTGCCAGACCGCCTCGCGTCTCCCCGCCCCCGCCCCCCAGGAGGACCGAGACTCATCACCATATCCAGAAGACCCAGCTGCCTCCACGGAGGAGCATCCACTCCGGACATCACCCCTTTCTCTCATCCTTCTTGGCCACGGCTTCCAGGCTGCTCACCTGCACAGAAGCTACGTCGGGAGCAGCTGCAGAAGGGTGGCCTGTGTTCCGGCATGGGAGGACGCAGGTGTGGTCCCGGGGGTGCTGTGCGCTCGGCTGGTGGCCCGCTGGTGGACAACGTTGGTGGCACACTCTGAGGACAAACATACAGATGCCCTCTTTGTTTTGAGGCACCACTGGGATGCCTGCCCTTGAGCCTGGCCAGGCCCTGCCACTCGGAGCTGCGCTCGGGCACCAGTTTGTTGGACAGCCCTCTCCTTCCACGCCCTGACCGCTCCTCCAAAGCATGGGTCACCTTCCCGGCAGCCTCTGCAAGTGAGCCACTGGCCCAGACGGAATGCTGACCCTCCTCCAGAGGGACAGGCCTCCTGGGAGCCCCACACCCTCTGTCAGCCTAGCACCCCAGGTCTTGCCACAGCTACACGTCTTCCTGGACAAAGAGGACCTCCGTCTGGGTGAGGTCTCCGCTCTCTCCTCGGGCTACTCATGGGCCTGAGTATCCAGACGGACACTGCCCTCCTCCAAGGACAACTGCTCCGAGTTGCCTTCCACTTCCAGAGCCCACGGCTCCCAGATGAGACACAGCCCGCTTGGTCCTGGAAGGCAAGTAGGTGTGAAATCTGGGTGTGTTTCAAAGCTTCCTTCCAATCATGGCAGACCACCAGGAAGAAGCGTCGCCCACCCCTTCCCGCGTCCCCCTTCCAGGCTCCTTCCGCACTGTTCTACCCACCAACCCACCCTGCTTTGGGAGCTCCAATGGGGACCCCAGATTAGACGCCCGCCCAGGTATGGGGAGCCCTACCTGGTCTACCTTCCGAGGCTGGCTCTAGAAACAGTGTCCTAAAGCATTCAAAAAGCCAGCTCTTCTGGGGAGGAGGAGGTGTTTTCCCCAAAGAAGAATCTAGATGTCTTTCCTGAGCCCACGGCGAAATCGTTTTGTATGAGACCACAAGCAAACTCTCTCGATTCATCCGTATTTTGGAGAGAACCGTCATCCTAGTCGCCAAAGGTTTCTGTTTTTTCCAGGGAGATGTTAACGCTGGGGATGAGAGTCGGACCGTGTGGGGCTATGCTGAAGATCACTGCTTCTGTTCTCCTGCCGCCCCGACTCCATGTTTGTGCCGTCTCATGCGTCGCAGTGCTGCTAGATCCAGATCAAACCACTGTCATTGTTTTTTTAAAGAGAAATAAATTCCTTACCTAAAATAGCATCGCCTCCTTTCCCTCTGCCGAGCTCCCCTCTCGTCCACTGTGACCCTCACCCCCGAGACGCCTGCACCCCGAGACTCTGATGCTCTTCAGTTCCCCCTTCCTCAGTGGGTGGCGTCTGTCAGCAAGTCTGACCACATTCACCATGTCCCCCCTCCTCACCTGCCCAGAGATGGTGTGGCTTAGTGGACAGGGCCTAGGGGAACCTTCTGAACCCTTTCCAGGCTCACAATCTCAGCAGGTTCCAGAAGGGCTGAGGTTCAGCCTTCAGCAGGGCAGCCACAGACTGGAGCCCAGGAGGGGGCCGGCAAGGCAAGGCTACTGCTGTGCTCCAGAATCGAGGGTCCCGGCCTCAGAACCAAGGCCCACCGGTCCCCTCCCACTTGCTGGGCTCGGTTGTAGAATGTGCCAGACTCTAGGGCAGCTCAGTAGGGCCCTGAACAGTCTCCATCTTTCATTCACAGGGGAGCCTCCCCGTGGGCCTCCTCGGGTACTAGGGCGCTGCAGCCACTGTCCCTGTGCAGATCTGCAGGGCTCCGTGTCTTCTTGCCACCCCCACAGCCTTGAGAGCAGGGAAGGCTGGGCCCCTGGGGACAGGCAGGCACTGAGGCACAGTCCGGCAGGGCTCGGGCCCTGCCCAGTGGCTCCATCAGCCCAGTGCTGCCTGGGCCTGGCACCTGGTCGCTGAGCCTGGCTGTCTCAGGAAGAGGGCAGGAATGAATGAGCCCGGTGGCCTTTAGAGAGAGTTACGGCTTCCTAGCTGGTCTGTCCACAGGGATTCATGGGGCACGTATGGTGCCAGGTGCTGGGTGCCAAGCTCCATCAGAGAAAGCCCTTCCTTGAGGGCTGTGCACTCTAGGGGCAGAGAGGACAGAGACTTGGATCACAGACTCACCTGGGACCTGACTACTGGTAGGTAAAGCAGGGCCAGCAAACTTGAAGTGGGGACGCACCTGGGAGACGATGGAATGCAGATTTTGACTCAGTAGGCCTAGGGCAGGCAAAGGTCCCAGGTGAGGGTGCTGCTCGATAGACCACCCTGTGAAGAGCCAGGCCTTGGAGAATCTAAGCCGAGTGTCAGCCAAGGCCTCAATTCAGAAAGGTCTTTAGTTAAACCAGGACTCAGTCTCAGCGCTGTCCCTTCACTGTCCACTTCCAGGGGAGGATGTTCTGCTAATAATCACTTTCTCCATGGTGCCCTGGAGAATTCTCAAAGTCTGGCCCTAAGAAACTGAATCAGCCTCTCGGGGCTGATTAGAGAGGCAGGCGCTTGGCCCCGCCCCCGCCCTGCACAGCCAGAGACTCGGGCCGGTCCTGTAGCTGTTCAGGGCCAGCAGGTGATGCGGATGCTCACAAACGTTTTGATGACAGCTGGTTTACAAAATAATTTTCATCTCCTTAGAAGCCCTGGTAGCATGGTGGTTACACCATGGGCTGTCGACCACAGGGCTGCAGTTCACAACCACCAGCTGCCCGGAAAGAAAAAAGCCAGGCTGTCAACTCCCACGAAAAGTTACAGTCTTGGCAACCCACAGAGGCAAGCAACTAGGAGTTGGACTCTAGTGAGTTTGGCTTTTCCTCTCACCAAAGCTTCCCAGCAACCTCACAACAAAGTAACGGCCATTTCTCAAACAAAGTAACAGCTTCGCAAACCAAGACCACAGTGTGGCAGACAGGAAGAGCCACTTCCCCCGTAAACAGATAAAACAAACCTGTGTATAATTGGCTACCACTGTCTTTAAAAACGGGTGAGGGGATACATAAGAAAACTATGTTGCTGTTAATTATGTGTGTTGTTAAGACCAAAAACTGAAAAAAGAAGAGAGTGTTCTAGGGGAGAAGAGAGACCCCAAATTCAGATACAATTGCGAGAGATACATGTATCAAGTCTTAAACAGGATGAAGACAAGGCAAAGATAAGGGCAACTCACTGAATGAGAAAGGCCATCAGCCGGCGGTCATAACGGTGTCTAAGGGTTTGCAGAAACTCAAGGCACTTAACTAGGACACAGAGTACAAGGGAAACTGTCACAAGAGCAGACTAGCAACAGATCAGTGGATCACATTGCAGCTGGAACAACAGAAGCTGGACCGGGCGTGACTGAAACACAGTCGCTCTGCGCGGTAGAGCAGCTTACAGGATTGGCTCTGGGGCTCTCTAAGCAAGGCAGTGAGGGTCCTGCAGGCTCCAGTGTCCCAAATCCCAATCAGGCCACATCCAGAGGAGCTCTCTGAGGGGCGTGGTAGCCTTCCACTTTCTACTGCATGCTGCTTGTGGGCAAAACTATTCACATGGCCAGTTGATGGGCAGAAAGCATCTAGTGAGTGGAGGAAGTTACTCCAAGAGGCCCTGAAAGAACACGAGGATTGAGGAGAGGGAGCAGATGGGCGGTGGGTTTGATTTGGGAAGGATGTGAATGTTTTACACAATGATAAAACTAAAAAACTGTCTTTAAGCAATGCCTAAATCCGAACAACCACTGGAGCAAAGCATCCTACTTGTGTATGTTGTTGGCAGCACCAACACACAAAGAAAAACATTCACAACAAAGTAGGATTTGTGCGTTTCTTTAGTCTTTAGCTATTTGAATGTTTTAAAAGTTGACCGTGCCCCCCACTACCATGATCCAAATTCTACCTTACATATCCAGCTGGACCGGAGGAGGTGCACTGGTATAGATAGGGACTGGAAATACAGTGAACCCAGGACAGATGAACCCCCTAGGACCAGTGGAGAGAGTGGCGATGGTGGGAGGGTGGAGGGAAGGAGAGGGAGAAAGGGGGAACAGATGACAAGGTCTACATGTGGCCTCCTCCCTGGGGGACGGACAGTGGAGAACTGGGTGAGGGAGACGTTGGATGGGGTAAGATATGATGAAATAATAATTTATAAATTATCAAGGGTTCAGGGGAGTGGGGAGCAGGGAGGGAGGGGGGAAAATGAGCTGACACCAAGGGCTCAAGTGGAAAGCGGGTGTGAGAATGATGAAGTCAACATATGTACTAATGTGCTGGACACAAATGACGTATGTACAGATTGTGATGAGTTGTATGAGCCCTAATAAAATGATTATTTAATTTTTTAAAAAGCTGACCATGGTAAAGAGCTATATAATTGCAAATATGTGTTTGAAAGCACTGGAAAATTATATGCGAGAAAAAAATTAAATGAATTCTAATTAAAAAAAAAAAAAAACGGTCTCCAGGAAGGTCACAGGACATAAATGCCACCCCTCGTCCCTAGAGTGGGATGCACTCTAAGGACAAAAAGAACTGCCACCACCCAAAAAAAATGCACAAATGTTACTGTGTATAATGATGGGCTTTATTCTTCTTCGGCTGTTACATGTTACAGAGCTAAAACAAATAACTGGGTCAGTGTCTTTGAGAAACAATGATTTTCACGTAAGACAAATAAAAATAGAAAATCAGAGAAGTTGAATAAAATCCTTTTAACACACACCCAATTTTTTTAAGTTTGTATATTTTAAAAGTTTACAAAGTTTGAACCCATGACAACGAATGATTGATCCCGTGGCAGGGTGCACCTTGGGGCCAAGACCCTGACCTATAAATGGCATTTTCCACTGCAAGAAACCACGCATCTCTGGAGAGATGGGAGAGTTCAGGCTTAGGGGATGGAGAGCTGGAACATTTTGTCTTACAGGAAAACAAGGGCACGACCAAACAATATGAGGGCTGTGTGACAGTAGTCAAGACGCGGAATACAAAGAAAACTAGCAGAATAGCAGCAGATCAACATGTGACCGCTGGCAGTGGAGCGGGAGGGGCTGGGACATGGACACTCTGGTAGATGAACATTTTATCTCATGGCTGTGAGTCAGTGCTGACTCTCAGAGACCCTATAGAGCAGGGCGGGACTGCCCCTTTGGGTTTCCAAGACTGTAAACTCTTTACAGAGCAGAAAGCCCCATCTTTCTCCTGTGGAGCAGCTGGTGGTTTTGAACCACTGACCCTGTGGTTAGCATCTAAACTCATAACCTCTCTGCCCTCAGGGCTCTTTTTACAGAATTGGGGGCGGGGGTGGATTTGAGTATTAATAGGGATAACCGAAGGTGAAAATATATCAAATGTGTTTAAATCCATGAGTTCATAATTATACTCAAAATAATAATCTTTTAAAAAAAATAGGAAACCCTCCCATGTCCCTGTGTTAGTCTGGGTTGACTAGAGAAACAAATCCAGAGGTACTCATATGTGTATAAGAAAGAGCTTTATATACGAGAGCAATTGAATATTGAGAAAATGTCCCAGCCCAGTTCAGATCAAGTCCATAAATCTGATATTAGCCCATATGTCTGATACCAATCTATAAATTCCTTTTCAAACTCATGAAACACATGCAATGACACCGAATGTAAGAAGACCACAGATCCAGTGGCAGTGGAAGCATCTCAGCACTGGTGTGGAGCTCCACATGGCTCCTCCAGCTCCAGGGCTCTAGTGTAGCTCCATGTGTCTTGCTATCAGGAAGACAAAGCAGAGAGTGTGTCTCCCACCTCCAGGGAGGAAGACAGAAGTTCCCAGAATCCTCAGGAGAAGGTATGCCCACACAGAGACCTCATTGACCGTGACCTGATTGGCAGGCTAGACTCCACCCCTTTGCACGCTGACAGGGGGTGATGTAACTGCCACAGTCCCCTTGATAGGATTCTAGAACCAGTAATTAATGGGAAAGAATCAAGCTCCATCTATCAGCCAGCTACCCTGTTTCCCCGACAATAAGACAGTGTCTTATATTAATTTTTGCTCCCAAAGATGCACTAGGTCTTATTTTCAGGGGGTATCTTATTTTTCCATGAAGAGGAATACGGTACACATTTATTGCTTATTGTTTTATTAAAAGAGACCTCAAGGCACACTTCCTGTCTGCTCCGGCTGTGCTACAGCGAACAGTGAGCTGCGCGGTGCCCGCTGCTACGGTCCAGAGTCCAGAGTTACGGTTGCTTGGGGTGGGGGGCTTATTTTTGGGGAGGTCTTATTTTTGGAGGGATTCCTTATATTTCAGCGAGAGGCAAAGCCGTAAGTAGGTCTTATTTTGGGGGGATGTCTTACTTTCGGGAAGCATGGTACTTGATGGAGTTCATCTCAGGAATGTGAGGCTAGTTTAAAATTCAAAATCAATCGATGTAATTCATCACAGTCACAGGCAAAAACCAAAGATGGTATGATCCTCAAAGAGGCAGAAAACCCTGTGAAAACGACTCCAACATCCGTTTATGATAAAAGCTCAAAAACTCAAGAATAGAACAGAATGCCGTTCATTTGATAGAGGTACCCAGGAAAACCCCCAGCTGCTTCTGAACAAAACACAGACCAGCTGTTGCAAACCCCAGGGCGCACAGTTCTCCTCTGACGCCCAAGAGGCCACCCAAGTCGGAATCCACTTGATAGCAAGTGGTGACCTCACTGCGGGCTGAGATTCGGAACACAGGGCCCCCACAAAATCGGGAAAGAGTCAGGATGTCCACTCTCGCCATTTCTGGTCCATAGCACATTGGAGATCCCTAGCTACTGTAATAAGGCACGAAAAAAAGTTATGAGAGAAAATATGAAACGGTCTTCATTCAGAAATGACACATCATGTACAGAGGAAATCCACAGTCACACATACACACACACACCTTCCCCTAAACATGGAACATAAAGGTCTTAGAATACAAAAAACTTGCCACCATCAATCAATTCCAACTCGCGGTGATCCCACAGCACAGGGCAGAGCTGCCTCTGTGGGCTTCTGAGACGAACTGTTGTCAAAAGTAAAAAGCCTCAGCTTTCTCCAGCAGAGCAGTTGGCTTTGAACTGCTGACCTTGTGGTACCCAATGCATAACCACTCTGCCACCAGGAAAACAAAATTCTAAAATCAGTACCATTTACAATAATAATTAAAAATTTTAAAACCCTGCTGCTATTGATTGATGCTGACTCACAACCCCGTAGGCCAGGGTGGAAGAGCCCCTGTGCGTTTCCACAGACATGCTGGTGGTTTCAAACTACTGACCTTACAGTTAGAGCCCAATTAGGAACCACTACTCCACCAGGGCTCCTGCCCATTTACAATAGCATAAAAAACCCATAAAACACTAAGGGTAAAGAACGACAGAATAGTTCTACACTAAAAGTGAAAATGCTTTGCTGAGTCACATTGAAGAAGACTTAAACAAATGGGAGATACATCATCTTCACGGACCGGGAGACTCCACAGTGTAAAGATACCATTTCTCCCAAAGCTTAACTATGTCATTTCCATGCAATTCTAATCAAGACCCCAGCAGAAGACTTCCCTGGGCTGATAATCAATCTTTCTGATACTCAAACTTTTTTGGATTCTCAAACTTATATGGAAACATAACAGACCTAGAATAGTCTAAATCATAGAGGGGGGGGCGGGCAGGGGGGGGATTTGAAGGACTTAAACTACAAATTTTAAGACTTCCACAAAATGACAGTCATCAAGACAGTGAGGGGCTGGCATGAGATAGACAAAGAGCTCAATGGAGAAGAATAGAGAATCTAGAAATAGGCCCCAAATTATATGGCCCATTGTTTTTTTGACAAAGGAAATATTTTGCAACCAATGATGCTGACTCAACTGAATATTGGTCTGTGTGTGTGTGTGTTTTATACATATGTATATATCCAACCTTGACCCATACTTCATCCCACCGACAAAGATTAACTCAAAATGTGCCAAAGAAGACATTCGTGTGAGAGGCAACAAACATATGAGAAAATGCTCCTGGTCACTAGCCATCAGCTGCGGGTCAGAGTAATAATCAGCTGTCAC